GGAGGGAGATTCTTGCAGGGGGAAGGGAACATCTACTCCTCGTTAGCTGAATTTCTTCATCAGGCTCCGCCTGTGTCACTTCCCGGCTGGAGGAGACTCTGTGTCCTCACAGTATCTGCCCTTCCAGGAACTGAGCTGATGAAACACTTGCCCAGGAGCGCAAAGATGGGTTTAATCATGTGGTGGTGGGAAGGTGCGTGGTCAGAAATGCAGAATGTTATTTGTTTTTGGAACAGCAGGACAGCTGCCGGGGTGGGGGGGGGAAGAATTCTTCACTTTGCCTCTTGGATAGGGACTTCGGCAGTTTGCAAGGAAATACTCATACAGTTTTTGTCTTAATGGCTTTTTTCTTTGAAGTATCTTTTCTGGTTATTAATTCAGACTTCCCCTTTAATGTCGGGCCAGTAATCCAGGGCAACGGGGAGTCTACACCATGGCCAAACTTTTCACAAGTGACTTTGAATAGCTCCGGTTTTGGTGCCCAACTTGAGATTCCCTCAAGTGCCTGGATTTTTGCGGGTGGGTGTTCAGCTTTTTCTGAAAATCAGATTCTTTATAACATGGACACCCACAATCACTAGTCACTGGTGAAAATCTTTGCCTGTATCAGCAGAGGCTTTAGAAAGGAGTTGTCCTCGTAAAGTCCGAGACTGAAACTCCCGCAGTACTTCGGGCTTGGGTATCAGATATCGGGGAATGCTATGAAAATAGCCACAGAGGATCTTGTCAGCAAATTAGCCTTTTAATTTCTCTTTGTACCATGCTTTACTAGACTGCGACAATTTACCAACCTCCGATTTCAGCTTTCTATAAACTTTCTTCTCCCCTACGCCTCCCCGGGCTCTGAGACGAGTGTGTTCTCTTATAAAGTGTGGGTTGAGGAGCGGGAGGAGGGATTGCTTACTTATTGCCAGGCTTTAGCTGCTATTCTGTTTTCTTCAAGGACACCCTGGAAACTTGAAACTTTGGGATAAACTCTTAGTTGCATGCTGATAGGACAGACTCTTATTGGGTTAATGCTAGGAGTCCATCAACATACATGAGGTTAAGGGAATGCGTGGCAAGACTGACACCCTGGAGTTTCGGTAAATGTTTTGTTGTCCCTCTCCTGTTTCTGTTCCAAATCTTCTTCCATCTGTAGTCAGTGTCCTATCTCCTTTCTGTTCAGGATAATGGACAACTGATGCTACAAAAAAATGGAGTGGCACTCTCCAAAACTCTGCTTTTTTGATGGCTAGCAAGTTGTGTGTTAAGTAGTAGTTGATGCGGGGGATCACAAACTGTCAACCCTTGCACCTGCTGTCCTCCTCTCTGCAGATCCCCTCCACTCTTTTTCAAATGCATAAGCTGGAGTCTAGCTTGCATACTGCCCTAAGCAGCAAGACTTGTCCATTGCAGCAGTAAACGGTGCTATGGTTAAAGAGTCGTGGGTGGATAGGGATTACAAGTCACTACCAATCTTGGCCAGCTTCAGACTGAAAGGCTCCACGTCCCATTGCTAAGCTTCTTGAATAACCAGTCCCTCCAGCAGTACATACTGATTTAAATGCACCTACCTACAAATAAGCATATTCATTTCTAAATAATCATGGCTTTGGGGGAGTTGGTAGTAGGGGAGGATCAAGTCTCGCGGTAGACACTGGGAGTGGTATCATCATGCCTGGTGGTTCTTCCAACAAATCAGCTTCTGTTTTATCTTCTAAAGAGACCAAGACAAGCTGGAGAATAGTTAGATAAAATGCTGGCATGAAGCCAGCGGCTGCAGCATTCCTATTGTGAAGAGCTTCCACCAGAAACCTGGACACTTTGCATTTGAGATATAGCTTGATGCGTATTCTCTTAGATTTGTCCTAGAAATTGGTCACTGGCCACTGTTGCTTCTTCCTTGTGTTTTAAGACTAAACAATTGGTGCTATGTATTTGTTAGTTTCATTTGTTTAACGAGGTCCCTCTAAGCCTTACATCCTTGACCTGACATGTTTGTAATTAGTTGTTCTGTTTAATTGATAACTTTGCCTGTAAACATCACAGCTTTCCCATTTGTGCCTCTGAATGTGGGGATCTAACAGAGTACCCAAGGTCTCTGTGTAAATAGAAATCAAAATGAGTCTGCTTTGGAGGATCTGAGGCAGCAAATGTGTTGGGCTTTTTGTTGTTGTTGTTTTTGTTTTTCTGTATCAGGATAATTGCTAGTATTTGCCAAAACATTTACTTTATAATGTCTTGCTTATGTTAGGTAGCTAGGTAACAATTTCAGTGGTTATAGATATGTTTGATTTATATACGTTACTCAAATATTTAACCCACAATCTGAGACTTTATGGAGAGAGACGAGCAAAAATGGTGCCATGGGGAAGGAGAACTCCTCTTTTCCTGTCTCTGAGGGTCTGATCGCCCAAGGGTGCTGGGTCCAGGAGCAGCTGCAATTGCAATTTACTTGGAAGGACCAAACTCTTTCCTTTCCTGGAGTTGGTGATAACTCAGTTATCAGAGGATAACTTGCACTGTCCTCAGCCTTCTGTAAACTGAGATTAACGGGTATTAAAGAGTTTGTGGCCCTCCATCTAGGGCCCAGTGTTGGATTCACACATTTATCTGGAACAGGGTTCTAAACTGGGGACAATGGTGTGCTTTTTGTGATTGGATAGCGGGGAGTTTTTCAGCGGATTGTTCTTAAATTAGAAGGTTTTGCTTTGCAAATCAGGAATTCAGTTAGAGATCACAGATCCTTGTACAGTTACCTGCAAAATCAGACGTCAAGGTTTTGCTGCACCAAAACATTGTTCTCTGTGTGGAATGGTAAAGACAGCACGCGGATTGCTAATGCCAGTGTTACTCAGCCCTGAGAAGGTAGCAAACTGTCCTTAATTTTACTGCCACATCTCTCTCTCTGCTTTCTGTATTTTAGAGAGGAAGTCTGGTCCAGTGGTTAGGGCGTTCCCTGCTCCACCACAGACTTCCTGTGTGACCTTTGGCAAGTCACTTGGGGCCAGATTGTCAAAGGTATTTAGGTGCCTATAGATGCATCTATAACTCCCCTTGGCACTTGGATGCTTTTGAAAATCCCATTAGGAGCCTAGCTTTAGCTTTGGACAACTGAGTACCTTTGAAAATCTGTCGCTTCGTCTTTGTGTCTCAGTTCTCCATCTGCAAAATGGGCTTAAGAGCAGTCTCCCACCTCAGAAGGTCTGTGACAAAGATTAAACCTTACCCAGATACTATGGTAAGGGGGGACATGAGTACTAGCTAGAGTGCTAATAAAAGCATTTTATCAAAACGGAAATATTTATACATCTGTTGTATTTGCTATTCTGTAAACAGAGAGATCTTTAATGATTCTTTAATTTAATGCTGGCCTGTTCCCAGTTATGAGAGCTAAACTCTGCGTTGAAGAGACTGTTTCAGACTAAAAGGAGGAATGTCGAACTACCAGTTTCTCCAAATATGTTTTACGTGAGTCTTGGAATCCTTTACAGCGGTGGTTCTCAACCTGTTTACCACTGTGGGCCGCGTATGCAGCTCTCTGTGATATGTGGGCCGCATCCAACCCACTATGTATAATACCTGTGTGGCCCTGAGGATGTCACATGGGCCACAGCTATGTGCTGATTGGGCTGCGGGTTGAGAACCTCTGCTTTAAAGGAAGAAAGCAACTGAAAACTCTCAGTAGAATTCCTTTCAGCAAAGGGTTAAAACTTGTCATGAAATGTCTTTGCCGAATTGGAAAACGCAGGATAGTGCAACCACTTAAAAATAACCAGCTTCCTTCGGCGTTTGTGTGACATACAAGGGATGTTACAAGCTGTTAATAGGGCATTTAATTCTGTACACAATGTAATTAATACTCATTTTATTGACTCATTTCTTCCTATCCACTCCTCACTTTAGGCCTCATCCTGTGTTCATTCTTTTTTTTTTTTCCTTCTTTTTTCCCGTTGCCTTCAGAGGAGCCTGATCGTGCCCTTTATCTTGAAATCTAACTTTGTAGTGTAAAGTTTGATCTTCAGTGTGATTCCTTGTGTGGAGGCCAGTGTACAGCCATGAGATACGTGGATGCCACACTTACAGAAGAGCCTCCAGGATACTGTATCTCGGCAAATGTGGCGTTCTAGTGAAGAGCTTTAGTTTAATTGCTTTTCTACCTTTGTAAATATTTTACCCTTCTAGTGAGAATTGCTGACACTTGGGATTTAGAGGGAGCGGCAGATTCAAGGGAAAGGGAGTTCCAGGGAGTAGCCCAGATTGCTGTTTTCAGCTGCAGTAGATTTGAATTCATGTTGCAAACTAAGGGTCATTTGTAGTTTTGGACGTTTGAAACCCCCAAATAGACTGGTTGGATCTTTTCCCACTTAAAAAGCTCAGTAGACACTTTTGATCAGCATTGAATATCCATATTACTTTCCTGGCATGCAAGCGAGATATCCTTGGATGCTGGGGCAACAATATAATAAATACTCTGCTCCATCCTTCGTGGCAAGAAGTTGTGAACTGAGCATCAGTTCTATGCTGTTCTCTACCCAGCATCTTAGAAGATCAGCCTGTTTCTGATTATACCAGCAGAGCTGAGTGACATTTCTTCCCTTTTCCCCTCATCCTGATGTGTCAAATAGATCATGGGAAAGGCCTGTCACTCCCCAGTGTTTCTCCCCCTGATTACCTCAGTGTGTTTGCATAGGTGTGTTTTAGCACACTGCAGAGAACTCTGTTGATCATTAACCCAGGCGGAGGATGCTGTTATCCATGTCTAGCCTTCCTGCTTGGACTTCCTGTCTATTTTCCTGAGGGTGGAGTGTATTTAAATTTCACTGATCTTTTGTGGGCCATTGTCAAAGACTGGCTACTGGGCTAGATGAACCATTGATCTGACCCAGTGTGGCCGTTCTTATGGTGGGAGGCAGAAGGGGTGCCTGAAATAGGATCAAGACTTGAGCGAGAAATCAGTGATCCCAGGGTAACTAATTTTCAAGCAATAAGTAGTTAGCTTTAAATATTTAGCTGCCCAGCCGGATTCACATTTGGAAGGGCCGTGAACCATGCCAGTTGCTTCTGAGATGCTGGGGTCTGTTGGGGCTGCTGTGTAAATGTTCACCCCCAAGGAAAACGTGGTTTTCTCGTAGAAGTTATCGTTCCAGCCCCGCTTCTCTAGAGACAAGAGCCTATCAGTAGAGAATGGCCGTTTGGGGCCCGCTCATA